ACTGTCAAGTTCTAGAATAAAGAGAAGATAAACTTCCTGTTGTAAACCTTTTACTCTCTAATAGCTGACTGGTTTTAGTAGCTTTTACACATCCTAAATACCTTCTTGAATAAGATATACTCTTTGGTTTGTAGTACTATAGCCACCTACTATTCTCCATATGCTCTAAATAATTGTGAATAATTTTTTTCCTATACTGAAGTCAGTTGCTTATTTAATGTGTGTCAGTAATCATGAACTACACTACATCCTTTACCCAGTGATCTATATTGAGCAATACCATTAAAACCAAAATGCCTGCATAATGACAATACTTCTTTGAAGCAGCACTAAATATAGTAAAATTCCAATGCAATAATATTTAAAGAATCATTTTCCTTGCCTTCTAGAAGATTTTGAACTGCACTTCAAGCTCACGAAGATACTCATGATTTGCAAGGGTTCACTGTCTTCATATAAACTCTTAGTATATCTTAGATACTGCTTATTCTGAGTTTATATCTTTTGCTTCAACAGTCTCACATTATACATTATAATAATTTCTATTTAAGAAAAAATGTTTTTCCTAAATGCCTATTTTACCTTTATTTTTCTAACACTTGTAGCATCCTCACTGATGTAATCCAACCTGAACTTTAAAGTCACTCCTTCATACATTCATGTAATCATCATTGCATGAAGATGTTTTATGGACTCCAGACTCTAAAACACATATCATATGTGACATTGTGGAGGTTATAAGCAAATATAAATCATGGCACTTGCACTCATCATCTTACATTTTATAGATGATTATGAGAGCAAAGAGAAACAAAACAAAACAATAAAAAAAAAGGTCTGGATCCCTTTCTGTTCCCAATTCTCTATATCTAGGTCCCTCTGGATTCAATTTATATTCCACAACCCCAACTCTTGGGCCAAATTACAACTCATACTTTAGTTCCCCAACAATACTATGAAGACATAGTATTTCATGGACTTTAACCCTTCAAGCAAAGTAATAACAGTATTTTTGTAGTTAAAAAGAAGTTCTACAAATAAACAGTGGGAATATTCAAAATATTGCAGACAAATACTATACCCATACTTTGTATATAACAGTCTTTTAACAGCTTATATTATACCCCTGCTTCTGAATCATATTCTAAATCCTCTTAGTCACACAAAATAAAAAATATGTAATAGCCATTTTGAACAGAGTCCATGCTACACTCTTGAAATAACCTTTTAAAGACATAGTATTTCATGGACTTTAACCCTTCAAGCAAAGTAATAAGAGTATTTTTGTAGTTAAAAAGAAGTTCTACAAATACACAGTGGGAATATTCAAAATAGGTTCTTTTGTTTGCAGACAAATACACTAATTAAAAAAAGGACAAAGGGGTGGAAGGAGGAGAGAAAAAGAGGAGAAAGCAAAGAGGAGGCAACAAAGAGAAGGAAAGGAAGAAATGAGAAAAGGAAGAAAAAGGGAAGAGAGAAAGAGAGACAGACAGACACACACACACACACACACACACACTCACTCACCCACCCACTCACACACACCAACGAGAACATTAAGCTAACCTTACTGGACTGGTGGAGATACAGACTCTCCAAGCAAGCATTTGCTTTACATGTGGTTTTTGTACAGAATTTGACAAAAGACAGCAACTCGAATGTTTATTTACTGAATTGCTACAGTGCTTCATAAACTAGAGGAGAATGGGTTTAATGATAATCTTTGCCTCTTTCTTCAAGTGGTTCTTATAAAAACTAAAAACAAGGTAGAAAATTGTTCCAAAAGAAAATCTATTGGGTACAAAGGCTAAAGATCTACTCCCAGTGATATTAAAGGCCTTCATTCTAAATGTAGGCAAAACTTTAAAACATGACCTGAGATACTAGATTCAATCCTTGCTTGTTATAATCATATATATATACAACAAAAGTGATATTTAAAGCAAAATGTCATAAAACTCAATTTTTAATATTTCAACCAAGAATGTTATGATGACAAAACTTCATTATACTTAATTTGTTCCTTAAATTCATAGCAATGGGGGTGTAAGGGAATGTGATAAAAATATTACAACTCCAGCCTGTTTATGAAGAGTTCCTATTGCTTTCAAATTAGTTCTGCTAGTAAGAAACAAATACCTACTTCTACATTTTTATGGAATGGCCATGTGTGTTTATCTAAAGTCAATGTTATAAACAAGTAATGTGACATAAAAAAATTCAGCATCACTAATGTGTACTATAATCATATTTAGTATGCTCTTAGTTATTAAAATATCTAGTTCTGGTTTTCTAGTAGTCACAGTGAATTAAAAATAGTATTTTAGCAAAATACACATGAAAAACATTGGGTTTTAAATGATGTTTACTATATTTTCAAAAAGATATATAAAATTAAAACTAAAAAAAAAACAATTAAATGATAAGAACAAAGAACAAGGATAAGTAGCCCTCTTGGTTAGTATGTGAAATCAAACATCAAAAATTGATTTTTATTCCCTGGCCTTGGTGACTCTGGTTTCATAGGCTGGACTAGGCATGAAGACTGAGCCATTAATCTTTTAAGGAGAAGATGCCAAGTGCACTCCTCTTCTACTTGATCTATGGATATCAGTAATGATGCTCTTTAGTAAGCTACATATCTGTTTCTCTTGACAAAGGTGACATGGTAACAGGCATCAGCTGAAATGAGTGTCAGCTATGAAAGTATATGGGTAAAGTAATATTATTTATTCCTAAATTGCATGCTTAGTATTCAAAAATCATACAAATAGACTTTTATCCAGTTGGGTCTTAACACACATATTGGGAGAAGCTATCTTAATTCACATTACACAGAAAAATAAATCAAACCTGCCACTTAATCTCAGTATCTGCCTTATTTATCATTTTTACATTATGATACAGAAAACATATTTGGCTTGGGAGATATTAAGTGGCTATGTGGCAACTATATTTGTTAATAGAGGAGAACAAAGTCTTAGAACTTCTGCCAAACGTAGAGCATCATTTTATTACCACTCTCTTAAAATAATTCTATCATTAAAATAGAAAATTGATTTTGAGACAGGTCATTGAGTTTTCTCAGGTCTCTGGAGCAGAAGGAGTTATGAATTTTCTAACTGTCCCAAATTTCTAGCACTGCTCCCTTGCTACTCAAACAAACAAAGTAAATCCTGATTTAATAGAAGTTTTTTCCTCCAAATTACAATTTATATAGACTAGACTTGTTACCACTATTTGATGGTAGAAAAAAGTCACATTTGCACTTTAATATACTAATCTTAAATCTGACATACACAAAAAGAACGAAAAAAATCTTTATGTAACCAAGTGTCATAATCAGAAAAAAATAAGTTTTTTAAGATTCATTCAGTATTTCTACTTTAATAGTTTCATTTTGTTTTAAAACTTGGACAGTTAAGTGTTTCCCTTCTATGTGGCCAGTATCTCAAATATCCATGTTAAGTGCTTTTAATGTAAATTGCCATTGGAGAAAATAGCACTGTTGTAGAAATTACCAGCTTCCTTCACTACCTGCTCCCTCTTGTATCTACTGTAAGTAACTCCCATAGGTATGCTCAACTTTCTGTACAAGTGGCAGAAAAAGAAATAAAAACATCTGGTATTTGCCAGTAACCCACTGGAATTACGGAAGTCACCACATCATAATCTTGCTCTAGGATTTTCTCCATTTAAAAAAATCCACCAGGAGGAACATATGAAATAATGTGTCAACATAGAAACACTATTTTTCCCATTGTCTACAACCACATCAATGGCAGATACAACAAATGTACAATAACCAGAAAGTTCTAGAGCCAAGAGGCTCAGTAAAATTCCTTTTTTTCTCAATCCTACATCATCCCCTTGTCCATATATGCACAAATATCCTTTAATTCCTCCCCAGACTTTCATCCAATGGAGGAGGGGGGGCTCATGAGAGCAGACTTGTTCTTTACTTCCCTTGCATGTGGACTTTTTCATAAGATAATCAATATGAGTTTGGAGCCTCTTAATCTAAGGGACTGAGAATGGTTGCTGTAGCCCCATCTAGGCCATTTCATTCCTTCTCATTTCTGAATTCCCAAGATACTTTTGTTTATACAATTCTTAATAATCACAACACCTTGCAGCCTCTTACACATTAACTCTTCTTTTTCCCACTGTCTCTCTAGAGCTAACATACAACACATTCTAGTTCTAGCAACTAAACACATTTCTTCCTCCACTATACTCAAAAACTATAGCTTCAAAAATTCTGTAACCCCACATAAAATGTGAGTGTGGCAAGTCACTTGTCACTTATTAGACAAAATGAAACTTCATGCTGGTAACAGTATTTATTCAATAGCCTCATACATTTCACTCACTCTAAGTATCAACAGTCAACTGAAAACCAAGATGTCTTATAACACAAAGCTTTCCATAAATTTCAACGTTATTCTGTTTAGCAGCTCCTTTCCTATTACCATTCTACTTTACCTCTGTACTTTTCTACTAACATGTTAAGATGTTTCCCCCATGACATTTTATTTAATAACTCTGGTGCTTTCTTTCTTTAAATACCTGCAAAATAATCTAGCAAATCAGCTGAAGTACAACCCTAAAAGGAATCTGCCCAAAGCATAGCTGATGTTGAAATGGTAACAGTAAAGTTAACATGAAAATAAGTCACAATATTTCCATGCAAAAGTTAAAATGACACTCTTCATAAACGAATATTGAAAATTGTATTATAAAATAAATAAAAGTACAAGCTTTTGGTTTTGGATCCCTACAAATTCATAGTAATTGATTATACAAGCTACATTTTTTCAACCTATTCCCATCTTTCTAATTCCATGTGAATAAGCTCCATTCATTTAAAAATGTGTCTGCAATATTTCCACAACATGGGCCCCCATTAATTATCAATCTCTCCACAAATGACACATGTGTGAATGTAGCACCATCACTTCAAGCCATAAAAGGAGAATAAAGGAAGATACACTGCTTACCAGAGCCTCTTTTGGTCACAACCTTCAAACTCTGAGTAAAAGTAGCATATAAGAGAATCAAGTGTGGAATCGGAGCTTTCATCTTCCAGCTTTTAAAGGCTGTTCCCTAAAGCAAAGATAAAAAAGAAAAACATACATTTAAAAAATATATAGCAATATGTTAAGATTTTTATTCAACTTTTGATCATGCACACAATTGGGGCAATGGGTATCACAAGAGTAAAGAATGTGAACAGAATCTGTATTATATTTTCCTATATGTGTGGTTACTAAGCAAAATCCAAACGGGTGGTGCCAAAATTATGTCTCCATAGGGCCACCAACTTGTTTTAAACTCTTAAGATCACATAAACCTTTTTAATTTCTCTTTAGAGTACTTAACTGCATTTAAGTAAGTAGAAACAATCCCTTCAAAAAGACTATTTCACTAACAATTTATTTTTAATATAAATTACCAAACACTGACATTTTTTAATGTTCCATGTTACAACAGAATATGATTTTATTCTGTATAATTCTTTCCCATCAAAAAGAAACAATAAATTTCTATGTCTGTAAAGATTTAATTATAATTTTATAATTCTCTTTCAAAAATCTCTAAAAGATACTTCAAGAGAATTTTAAGACTCTGTCTCTATTGAAAATAAGTACGCTGTCTCTGAAAGCTACAGAAAGATATATCATTTCTTCCTTTTACAAGGCTCTCAGAGGGATACTAGAAGGGAAATTAGCCTGGTGTTTAGATTTCAAAAGGGAGATAAATTTCATTTGAAATTAACTAAAATGAAACACTGTATTTCTTGGAAAATCACCCCTCTTTTATTTTTGTATAAGACTGAGATATTAGAGGTAAAAGACTGAATTTCAAAAAGTAGCAAGTCAGAACACAGTTCAAATATATTGTCAATCCATGACAGCACAAGTTTCTTTCCAAGACAGTTGAGGACTGATCATATTCAACTTTCAATTGCTATGACTTTATTAAAAATGAGGAAGCTGAAATGGTAGTTTGACAGTCACATATTTTGCTCTCCTATTGCTGCAGATACCTCTGAATATTTTTTTACCTCTGAATATTTCTAAATGATTAATTCATTTGCATTAATAAAAGTCTGTTAAGACACATTTTAATTCACAAGACAAAAATCACTATCTATTCACTTTCAGTAAAGTAATACCATCATCACTTTAGTCAGAAAGTCAGTGAATTTTTTAACTAAGTACTGTGAATAAGCTATTTTAACTCTAGCTCCTTTAAATGATGATAGCCTGTTTCAGTTTTCTAACCAAGGACCTTGAGTTCACATAAAGACATAAATGAAACCTAGCCTGAAAAACCAACTCATCAGACACATTTGACAAACTGCCACATCACAGTGCAAGCCTGAGTCATGGATTCCTAAAACCTGAATCCCATTTCCCAGCCACTAAACTAACTAGAGCTGCAGGAAATCTTCAAGTTGGTATCTTCAGCCTTCAGGTTAGCCATGAGAATCAGTTCCTCTCTCAGGGTGAGTTTAATCAGCGTTACCCAAGAAACTCCAGGATTCAACCATACACTGCAGTACCTTCCAGCTTAACTATTTTATTACTTTACTCTTGTTCAAAATACTACTTCATCAGTCATTTCGTTTCCTTTTTTTTTTTAATTTTATTTTTTATAAACATATATTTTTTTTCCCCCAGGGGTACAGGTCTGTGAATCGCCAGGTTTACACACTTCACTGCACTCATCATAGCACATACCCTCCCCAATGTCCATAATAACCCCACCCCCCCTCCTAAACCCCCTCCCCCCAGCAACCCTCAGTTTGTTTTGTGAGATTAAGAGTCACTTATGGTTTATCTCCCTCCCAATCCCATCTTGCTTCATTTAATCTTCTCCTACCCACTTAACCCCCCATGTTGCATCTCCTCTCCCTCATATCAGGGAGATCATAAGATAGCTGTCTTTCTCCGATTGACTTATTTCGCTAAGCTTGACACCCTCTAGTTCCATCCACGTCCTCGCAAATGGCAAGATTTCATTTCTTTTGATGGCTGCATAGTATTCCATTGTGTATATATACCACATCTTCTTTATCCATTCGTCTGTTGATGGACATCTAGGTTCTTTCCATACTTTGGCTATTGTAGACATTGCTGCTATAAACATTCGGGTGCATGTGCCCCTTTGGATCACTACGTTTGTATATTTAGGGTAAATACCCAGCAGTGCAATTGCTGGGTCATAGGGTAGTTCTATTTTCAACATTTTGAGGAACCTCCATGCTGTTTTCCAGAGTGGTTGCACCAGCTTACATTCCCACCAACAGTGTAGGAGGGTTCCCCTTTCTCCGCATCCTCGCCAGCATCTGTCATTTCCGGACTTGTTAATTTTAGCCATTCTGACTGGTGTGAGGTGGTATCTCATTGTGGTTTTGATTTGTATTTCCCTGATGCCAAGTGATATGGAGCACTTTTCCATGTGTCTGTTGGCCATCTGGATGTCTTCTTCGCAGAAATGTCTGTTCATGTCTTCTGCCCATTTCTTGATTGGGTTATTTGTTCTTTGGGTGTTGAGTTTGCTAAGTTCTTTATAGATTCTGGACATTAGCCCTTTATCTGATATGTCGTTTGCAAATATCTTCTCCCATTCTGTCAGTTGTCTTTTGGTTTTGTTAACTGTTTCCTTTGCTGTGCAAAAGCTTTTGATCTTGATAAAATCCCAATAGTTCATTTTTGCCCTTGCTTCCCTTGCCTTTGGCGATGTTCCTAGGAAGATGTTGCTGCAGCTGAGGTCGAACAGGTTGCTGCCTGTGTTCTCCTCAAGGATTTGGATGGATTCCTTTCTCACATTGAGGTCCTTCATCCATTTTGAGTCTATCTTTGTGTGTGGTGTAAGGAAATGATCCAATTTCACTTTTCTGCATGTGGCTGTCCAATTTTCCCAACACCATTTATTGAAGAGGCTGTCTTTTTTCCATTGGACATTCTTTCCTGCTTTGTCAAAGATTAGTTGACCATAGAGTTGAGGGTCTATTTCTGGGCTCTCTATTCTGTTCCATTGATCTATGTGTCTGTTTTTGTGCCAGTACCATGCTGTCTTGATGATGACAGCTTTGTAGTAGAGCTTGAAGTCTGGAATTGTGATGCCACCAACTTTGGCTTTCTTTTTCAATATTCCTTTGGCTATTCGAGGTCTTTTCTGGTTCCATATAAATTTTAGGATTATCTGTTCCATTTCTTTGAAAAAAATGGATGGTACTTTGATAGGAATTGCATTAAATGTGTAGATTGCTTTAGGTAGCATAGACATTTTCACAATATTTATTCTTCCAATCCAGGAGCATGGAACATTTTTCCATTTCTTTGTGTCTTCCTCAATTTCTTTCATGAGTACTTTATAGTTTTCTGTGTATAGATTCTTAGTCTCTTTGGTTAGGTTTATTCCTAGGTATCTTATAGTTTTGGGTGCAATTGTAAATGGGATGGACTCCTTAATTTCTCTTTCTTCTGTCTTCTTGTTGGTGTAGAGAAATGCAACTGATTTCTGTGCATTGATTTTATATCCTGACAATCTACTAAATTCCTGTACAAGTTCTAGCAGTTTTGGAGTGGAGTCTTTTGGCTTTTCCACATATAGTATCATATCATCTGCGAAGAGTGATAGTTTGACTTCTTCTTTGCCGATTTGGATGCCTTTAATTTCTTTTTGTTGTCTGATTGCTGAGGCTAGGACTTCTAGTACTATGTTGAATAGCAGTGGTGATAACGGACATCCCTGCCGTGTTCCTGACCTTAGTGGAAAAGCTTTCAGTTTTTCTCCATTGAGAATGATACTTGCGGTGGGTTTTTCATAGATGGCTTTGATAATATTGAGGTATGTGCCCTCTATCCCTACACTTTGAAGAGTTTTGATCAGGAAGGGATGCTGTACTTTGTCAAAAGCTTTTTCAGCATCGATGGAGAGTATCATATGGTTCTTGTTCTTTCTTTTATTGATGTGTTGTATCACATTGATTGATTTGCGGATGTTGAACCAACCTTGCAGCCCTGGAATAAATCCCACTTGGTCCTGGTGAATAATCCTTTTAATGTACTGTTGAATCCTATTGGCTAGTATTTTGGTGAGAATTTTTGCATCTGTGTTCATCAAGGATATTGGCCTGTAGTTCTCTTTTTTGATGGGATCCTTGTCTGGTTCTGGGATCAAGGTGATGCTGGCCTCATAAAATGAGTTTGGAAGTTTTCCTTCCATTTCTATTTTTTGGAACAGTTTCAGGAGAATAGGAATTAGTTTTTCCTTAAATGTTTGGTAGAATTCCGCCGGGAAGCTGTCTGGCCCTGGGCTTTTGTTTGTTTGGAGATTTTTGATGACTGTTTCAATCTCCTTACTGGTTATGGGTCTGTTCAGGCTTTCTATTTCTTCCTGGTTCAGTTGTGGTAGTTTTGTTTCTATTTTTGCACACAAGCTAGTCCACAATTTTATTTCTTAAAACTAAATTGATTTGGAAAGCATCAATTTGGTAATGTCCAGATCTTTAATTGAGCCTCTTGAAATGCTGTGTATTAGGGAAAGGTATATATAGCATATCACAGATTCAACATTTTGATCAACCTACAATAATCTTTACAAACCTCTTTGATATAATTTATACTTTATCTTGAAAGACAGATCAAAGGTATCTACTCATAAACATCCAAGCTTTGCTATACTTGTTGCATAATTAAAATCCTTACCCACAAATACCAATACCAACTATATATAAATACAGTGATGTTCTTTGTACATTCTTATTGTCACATGATGGCTCATCATATCAATGACTTAGTTTCTAGTAGCTTCAAGTTATGGATGGATGGACCTGAAATTATCTGCCTGTGTCCTGTTAATACCATCACCATGTAACTTCATGTAAACCACTGGACACCTTAAAGAGAATGAGCATATTACAGTGGTTTTGAGCAATCAGTCTAGGTTCTTATCCTACTTTCACCACCTATTAGCTGTGTCATTTTGGGCAAATAACCTCTCTGTGACTAGTTTCTTCATTTGAAAAAGAGGTATCATTACAGTATATAGCATAGTACCTAGAAGAGCACTGGTACATAAACAAAGTCAAT